CAGAAAATAAAAAACAACAACAACATAAATAAACAAAAAGAAATCATATAATCTCTTTAGTTCCTACAGCTAAACCATGAAAAGTGTAAACCTACTTAAAGTGTAAACTTACTTGTCTTTCATCAAAAGCAGGTTTCAGGATGGAATCATGCCACGCTACATTCAGTAACCTTTGGCGTCCAGCACACACTTTGCTGAAAGTCTAGGAGCACACAGTATAATGGGAAAATCTAGGATTTGGACCAGGCAATCACAAGTTTAGATCCTATTCTACCTATTCCTAGTTAAATGCATTGGGGCAAGTTATTTATCCCACTAAACATCATTTTTCTAATCCAGAAAATGGAACTGATAAAACCTTTAACACAATCATTACAGGCAATGTACACATTATACACAGCACACAACTCTTGGGTTTTAAAAAAATTGTTTAATGCCAAATTCAACATCTCAGGGCTCTTACAACACCTTTTATTGAGCTCCTTAAAATATAAGTTAAATGATCAATTACTTCAATCTATAAAAGTAGTTTAACCTCCAATGATACAGATCTAAAATTAGTATGTTGTGCTTTACCTATCATTTCTGGACTGAGCATTACTGTTTTATATTCTAAAGCAAGAATCTTCTTTAAAACATATGAGAAAACAATGTAAACTATCCTAGAATGGTTTCTACTCCACCAGAATGGTTTTTACTCTCGCCAAGTAAGCAAACGAGTCATTCCAAGTGAACTTCTCTGTCTCCTTGCTTGTAAACAAACTGTATTAACAATTGCTTGTCTTCCAGTCCTAAAATAGTGATCACTATACTATACATAGTGCTCCTAGACGTAGCCTAATACAGGCACCTTGGATAACGCAGAAATCTCAACCTTAATCCTGTAGGAGGTACAAATATACAGCAATTCAGACAAAAGCATCTCAGTTAAAAAAAAAAAAAAGATACATACTGCAAAAAATGCGGGTATGGCACCTGGTTAGTTTCTAAAGGTAGTACATTAATGAAAACTGGAGTTACAGATAAATTGCAATAGCAAGGTATTAACCCAAGCAAGAATTTATTTGGTATCTCAAATACATTCAAGATATTATGAAGATGTTAAGTGAGATGAAATAAGCAACATTTTATCAAAGTTAGAAATGATCAGTTAAAAGTTATAAAGAAAATAATGAAATTTAGAAAGCAACCCAATTTATAACAGCATCACAAAGAATCTAACGCTTAGCCACAAACTTAACCAAGGAGGCAAAAGACCTGTCAATACAATACAAAGCAACTTACATATTCAATGCAATCTCTTATCAAATTCCCAATGATAAATGATCCTTCCTAAAATTCCTCCCTAAAATTCACATGGAACCTCACAGAACCCTAAATAATCAAAATCATCTGGAATGAAAAACAAAACCAAAGGCCTCACACGTACAATTTCAAAACATATTACAAAGCTGCAATAATCCAAAAAGTGAGGTATTAGAATGAAGGCAGATGAACTAGTGCAACAGAACAAGAAGTCCACAGAGAGACAATGGAATGAACGGTGAAATGATATTCACCCAGAGTGCCAAGAGCACTGGATGGGAAAGGACAGTCTTCTCAGCAAACAGTGCTATGAAAACTGGATATACAGATGCAAAAGAGTGAAGCTGGACTTTTTTTTAACCTTATGTGATACACATCAAAATGGATGAAAGTGATCCAGGGATTTAGCTCAGTGGTTCCACCATGTGCCTCACAAGCACAAGGTTCCTCAGTGGTTTCACCATCTGCCTCACAAGCACAAGGTCGAAGTTCAATCCCTGGTTCACCCCCAAAAAAGGTGGTGGTGGGAGGAGAAAGTCCTAAACATAAGACTTGAAACTAAAAAGGCTCCAAGAAAGCAGGAAAAATGCCTCAGGATAGTGGACTTCTCAAGGATTTCTTCAACATGATACCAAAAGCACAGGCAACAAAAGCAAAAGCACAGTACGACCTCAAACTAAAACTTCTACTCAGCAAAGGAAACAACAGCAAGAAAATGCAATCTACAAAAAAGGAGGAAAATCTATATTGCAAACTGTTATTCTGATAAGGGATTAATATGTAAAGTTTATCAAGAACTCCAAGGCCAGGGATTTGGCTCAGTGGTTCCACCACCTGCCTAGCAAGCACAAGGGACTGAGTTTGATCCTCAGTACAAAATAAAAAAAAAAAGGACTCCAAATCCAATCTTAAAATGGACACACACTTTAAGAGACAAATTGTCAACAAGTATAGCAGGCCCTGAAAATCAACAGGATCCACATCTGTAAATCCCACCTACCTCCAATCAAAAATATCCAGGGGAAAAAAATCTGTACGGAGTATGTACAAATGTTTTTTCTAATTTTCTAAATACTATAGTATAATGACTATTTCCATTCTATTAGGTACATCAGCAACCCAGTAGCCCAGAGATGACTTATAGTATAGAGGAAGATGTGTGTGGTACATGCATATACCATATCATTGTGTATAAAGGACTTGAGCATCCATGGATTTTGGTATTCAAGGGGGATCCTAGAACTAATCCCTCACAGATAATGAGAGATGGCTGCATATGGACACACTCACTATCAATATTCATCAGGGAAGTACAAATCAAAATCATAAAATCACTTTACACCTGGTTAAATTGACCACTATAAGAAACACAGAAAATAAAAATGTCAGCAATTTTATTATACTCTTATTCATGGCTGGTTAAAATATAAAAGAGTATAGGTGTGAGAGAAAACAACATGAAAAGTCTTCAAAACAGTAAAATCAGATGACAGAAGCTACAGCTGGTGTTAGAGGAGGTTGTCTTGCATGCATAAGGCACTGGGTTCAATTCCCAGTGAAAAATAATTTATAAAAATAAAATAACCATGTAAGTCAGCAAATTCACTTCAGAGTGCATGTCTAAAAAAGAGGACCTAGGCCGGGCATGGGGGTGCATGCCTGTAATCTCAGCACTCAGAAGGCCGAGGCAGGAGGATCGCTGTGAGTTCGTGACCAGCACGGGCTACATAGTGAGTTCCAGGTCAGTCTCAACTACATAGTGAGACCCTGTCTCAAAAAACCAAAAATAAATAAATAAATAATTTTTAAAAAATAAAAAACAGGACCTCAAAGTAACCTAGACATCCATGTTAACTGCAACATGATTCACAACACTCATCGTGGACAACACACAATTTCAAGAGGCGAAAGCAATTGAAATGTTCACTGGCGGATGAATGGATAAAGAAAACACTGCATATCCATGTAACAAAGACACTCAGTCTTTTTAAAAAGGAGAGAATCCTGCCATGGGCTACAACGCAGATAGACCTTTTGCTACATAAAATATACAAATACCGCATCATCTGACTTAAAGGAGCTCTGCAGCACCCAAACTCAGGGAACATAAGAGAGTGGTTTTCAGGAGTGGAGACAGTGTAAAAGTCATTCCATGGATAAAATTTCAGTTCTACAAAATGAAGTTTTAAAGATCTAATACACAGCAGACATATGCTTAACACTCCTGCAATACACACTTGAAAATGGTCAAGACAGTAAATTTTATAGGCTTTTTGCCACATTTAAAATAATTTTTAAAAAAGATTTAGAAAATGAGGTCTAAGAGTTCAAACAAGTGAGAAATTATTCTGAATTAGATTTTTAAAAAAAAAATGTATCTGAAGATTAGTAGGGAACCAGGAGGTAAGGAGGGGAAGGGGATGGAAAAAGAATGAAGATTCATTATACACATGGACCAACTCCTCATGAGGGATGTGACCATTATGTACCACAAACATGGACTACTGGTAAGAGAAATAAACACTGAAAATGAAATGACAGTGACCCATTAATTACTACTGGCCTTTACTAATAAAGTAATTATACCTGCAGTACAAAAATAAAGTCAGGGGTGGTGACACATCCATGTAATCTCAGCACTCAGGAGGCTGAGGCAAGAGGACCCTGTACACGGAAGGATCAACCCAAGTCCCAGGCCAGCCAGTAAGTTTGAGGCCAGCCTGAACTATATAATGAGATCCTGTCTCAAAAATGCAAAACAAACAAACAAACAAATAATAAAATGCTTCTGAAATGCCTCCTTCTGAAGCAGACAGCTGAACTCATTTCTTCCTAACAATGACAAAGCCCAAACAGGCTAGAAAAGAACAGATGCTGGACATACTTCAGACCCCAAATTACTTGGCAAGGGGCTGGGGATTTAGCTCAGTGGTTTCACTGCCTGCCTGGCAAGCAATAGGACCTGAGTTCGATCCCTGGTACAAAAAACAAAAACAAAAAAACCCAGCAACCCAAGTTACTTGGCAAACTGACCCACGATGAGTCAGGCGACTGCAGTGCAGCACCAAGCTCAGGTACAGTGGCGTGCGCTTACCTGCCACTGCTTTCAGGTGCTTCAGTCACGCTCGGTCAAACATGGTTTAAAAGTGTTACATGGAAACGTCCAGAAAGAAACAAGTTTGAAATAATTTTATTACAATATATTAACATTACAGGGTAGGGTAATCATTGGTAAGAGTGGTTACCTAGCATGCATGAGGCCCTGGGCTCCAGCACTCCCCCAAAACATTATAATAGTCCTTTTTATTATTAGTTATTGTTGTTCCTGTAATTAATTTAAAAATTAAGCCCTATCACAGAGATGCATGTGTATGGGGAAATATATACAGGGTTCAATGGAATCTGTCATGTTAACATCCACCAGGGGACGTGGAGTGCGTCCTCTGGAGAGGCGAGGCAGACTGCTATACTGCAAACCAGAATCACAGACTCCACAGGAAAAGGCCAACTTAATGAATTTTATGATAAAGTCCTCCTTTCCCAGTATTTGTGTCATTTTTTTAAGAAACCCAAAAATCAAAGGATCAGGACAGCCTGACAGGTTCACACTAACAAATGATTGGAGCAAGCAGAGAACTGTTCTCTGGCCCCTCCGCACACACGACAGAGCCACATGTATGAGGCGAACACCTTACCTTCATCAAACTCGGCGTCATCCTCTGTGTGCTGGGGGAAAGGGAAGCAATTGGTAATTTCAAGTCGATCTTCTACAACCAAGCCCAAAAGCACTCCTTGAACCACCTCGGTTCCTTGTCCTTCTTCTTGATAGTGTTTGATTATCTTTAATACTACCTATAAGAAAATACAGAACTGAGCTTAAAAATCAACCTACCTTATATTTTCTTGATTTCTAAGAAAAAGCAAACCATACAATGAGCTTACAAAACCAAGTGACTACATAACAAGACTAAACAAATGTCTTCCAAACCATTTCCTTTAACCTTACATAAACAATAAAGCTCACATAAGGTTCCCGGGTATTTAACCCTATTAACGAGGTGACTAAACCACTGTTAAAATCAAAGTAAATGAGAGACGCAAGAAGTCATGTAAGCTAAATGCAGACCTTCAAATTCAAGAACTTATTTCTAAAAAGCTAGTTCCTACTTAAAAGTAAACTGATAACTAAAATCCAGCATAGTTCCACACACATACACAAATAGGTCCAAATGCCTTATTCCCTTTTATAAAGATAGTGGGGAGGTGAAAATTATTAATATATTTTAAAACAAGTTACTGCAGTTAAAAAAGAGAAATGATGTTCTTACTCTTTTCACATCACTGAACTGCTAAATTCAGTACTTTGCTATGATGGAGAAAATTTACCTGTAACAGTACCTAGACGAGAGACAGTCAAAGCACAACGACTGAGTGTTATCAGGTATTAGAGGACTGACTGGTCTTATTCTGAAAGGCAAATCTTTCAAAAAAGAAAAAAGGTTAAATTCTCTCTTGCATTCAAGACTGTACAAAACAAAAGCCTTCAAGAAAGAATCACTAAACTAATTTCCATCTCTAATACTTACGCCATTGTAATATAATCTGGTGATATACTGCACTCAGGAAAAATCCTTTGTTAATCAAAACTAAACTGACTCACCCTTTCAACATTTCATGGTCTTCCTACTTTCCTACATACACATTAAACTCAAAATCTTTAATACAAAAAAATAACATATAAAAATAATGTAATGAAAATGCTTTACAAACTTCAAACTGGGAGTCATTTAGGAGTCAAAAGGAAAGATATTTCCAGAAGTAACAAACTGACAGCTGTGTTTCTGTTATTAGATATAAATAACCAAGAATTTGTCATACATATGTATTTACAACTTCTGTACACCGGTGGAGTCTCTATAGAAGACAGAACCCACATTCTGTCATTGTCTCCTTTCTTTTGTCTCCCCTCTTAAATGTTCTTGTAAAATTTCAAGGATGTTTTACTCAACATCACATCTCCAACAACTAACACAGGTAACTGGCATATACAAGAAACCCAAAATGTATTTTGTTCAAGGAATTAGCGGTAAAGATCTGCTGATCATTTGCAATGTGGCAAGCACTCCACTAAGTGCCTTATAGGCAATGAATGTCTCATTTACTCCCTGCAACTGCCCTATGAAGTCAGGCACATGTTACTTACAAAGAAACAGAGATGACCTGGTGTGGAATGATTGATTACACCTGAGAAGCGAGATTTCGCTTCTTGTTTAATCACAGTAACTGGGTAACTTGAGGAGCTTCCAACGTGTTTATAATAACACAGATGTGATATAAAAGTTCTAGCTAGGGCTGCAGAGGTCTTCAGAATGAACAGGAAGCTTAATGTAGGGCTTTAAGGTCAGGCAGCAAGAGCCTGCTTGTGCCCTGGTCACTGAAAGTTAAGTGGCACCAACAACACACTGCCAACAGTTCCAAGAACACAGGTCAGCTTTGAATTTCTAGTGACACTGTTCTCACAACCCACAGATGGGAAAGCACCCCAAAGCCCACTCTGCAAGACTGCTTGCCCATCTCTTTCTCTCCCTCTTGCCAACCATATACCTCTGTCACCTCTGTCGATAAAGCATGCATGTGTGTGTATTTTTTAGCCTAGCAATTCACTTTATTTGTACTTTTTTATTCTAATCAATTTTATTGGTACATTTAAGGTATATAATATAATGACATTCATTAGTGGAAATTTGCACCTTTACATAATCCATCTTAGTTATTTTTTCACCATTACACTGTCCTCCCTTCACCCCTTCCAACCCTCCCTATCTACAAAGACTTTGTTTCCAGTTTTTTCTCATATTAATTCCATTCCTTTCTTTCTCTTCCTCTACCCCTCACTTCCCCTTTGCACCTTTTCTTCCTATTTTACATTATCTATTATACCTTTTAGTCCTTATTTACACTTTCAGTTTCTCACACTAGAGGAATTATTCAGTATTTACACGTGTATGTGCGTCCTATTTATTTAACTTAAGAGTACTGCCTCAGTGTGCACCCATATAATTGTTCTGAAAACTACAGCACTCTCAAAAAGAGACTGAAGAGGATATCAGAAAATGGAAAGACATCCCTTGTTCCTGGGTAGGAAGAATCAACATAGTGAAAATGGCCATACTTCCAAAACTGCTATATAGATTCAATGCAATACCATAGAAATCCCAAAAGCATACTTCACAAACCTTGAAAAAAAAAATCCAAAATTTAATTTGGAACAAGAACAGATCTAAAATAGCAAACACAATTCTAGACAATAAAGACAAGGCAGGGGGTATTACAATCCCCAACTGAAAACTATACTACAAAGCTACTGTGATAAAAACAGCAGGGTACTGGCAAAGAAACAGACCTGAGACCCAGTGGAACAGATTAGAAGATGCAGAAACAACTCCAGACACACTCAGCCACCTTATCTTCGACAAAGGAGCCAAACACCCTCAGTGGAGGAAAGATGGACTCTTTAATAAATGGTGCTGGAAAAACTGGGTTTCAACTTACCAAAGATTAAAACTAGACCTACGTCTCTCACCATGCACTAAACTAAAATCAAAACAGATTAAAGATCTAAATATTAAAACAGAGACACTAAACTGGCTGGAAGAGAGGTTAGGTAGAACTCTTGAAGACATTGGTGTAGAAAAAGATTTTATGAACAAAACCTCAGTGGCACCTGAACTAGCACAATCAACAAGTGGGATGGATGTCTTCTTATTAAAAAGCTTCTCACAGCAAGAGAAACCACCAGCAGTGTGAATAGACAACCCATAATGTGGAAAAATTTTCACCAGCTCTTCCTAAAAGGTCTACTATCTAGAATACATAAGAACTTAAATTAAAAAAAAAAAAATTCAGACCTCCCAAATTTAAATACCCAATCCAAAAATGGGCATCTGAAATGAAGACTCAGACAAAGAAGTAGAAATAGCAAATAAACATGAAAAAATGTTCAATATCACTGGTCATTTAAGAGGTGCAAATGAAAACAACACTGAGATTTCCACCTCATCCCCAGAAAGAATGGTTGCTAACAAATCAACCAGTAACAAATGCTGGCAGAGGATTTAGCTCAGTGGCACTGGGCCTGCCTCTCAAGCACAAGGTCGCAAGTTCAATCACCAGTACAAAAACAAAAAATGCTGGCAGGGCTATGGAGAAAGAGGAACCCTGCTCCACTACTGGTGGGAGTGCAGACTGGTGCAACCACTGTGGAAAATCAGTATAGAGATACCTCAAAATACTAGGATTGGAAGTCCCATTTGAAAAGAATGATACCACAGTGATATATGTGCACCCATGTTCATAGCAGCACAATTCACTTGGAAGCAGCCCAACCGCCCATGAATGGTAGACTGGATAAAGAAAGTGTGTGTGTGTGTGTGTGTGTGTGTGTGTTTAATAAAATGGAGTACTACTCAGCCATAAAGAACAGGAAGCTAGAAACAAACATATTTTTAGTTACTTCTGTTTATTGATGTCATGCTCCCTCTTAAAACTGATACATGGAAAGCTCAGTAGCTCACCCACGGGAAAACAGCTCTTATAATAAATTTTGTTTACAACATGTCACAAATGATCCCACTCCCGGGAGCCCTGCATCACTTGTTCACAGTTTAACAAAGTGATCAGAGCTTTTTCACAAGGAAGGGACCACACCAGGGGCACATATTAGCACCACGTGGGGACCTGTAAAACACACCAATGCCTGAACACATCCCTGGATTCAGTCACCTGATCAGGACTGGATTCTGGGGGGGTGGCGCTCTTGCATCTTTCTGCTTTGTTTCTATGTTCTCCATAACGTAGCATCCCACTTTACTCTTTACCAATGGCTCAGGCTTCCTTTATTTTTGTTTTAACACCTCAAGGGACTGCAATGCACACTGCTGATTAACTGCTGATTAAGGTTTCTTTTTCTTCTGCTATAAGATTCCCTGTGCTGCTAAAAAGCGAAGACATGAGAAATACTCACCCAAAAGCCAACGTTTTACCTACAAAAGCAAAAATATCAGCCTTCACAAGGGAAATCCAAAGCATGAGGAAAGGTAATACAGCAGCCTCCAAGCAATTCTTGGGCTTTATGGCTTGACCTCACACTTAAGACTCAGGAACTAGTGCTGACAAGGGTCTCTATCAGATAAATTAGTGGTTAATCTAGGGCTTTCTACTGACTATACTCCAAGAGACAGGAGCAAACTAGCCAACAGAAACCTCAAGTGCCAAATGCTACTTTCTCAAACTGTCACATTCTTGGTCTGAATGCCTAACCTGAAAGATACGTATTGTTCTCTGAATAAGTCAATTGTCTCTAGAAGCCACTTGCAGACTCTGCATGTTCTCAAATTGGGCAAGGAATCTCAACCCGCAAGACAGCAAACAGATGTCTGTCCCCTCGCGGGAACACTTTTTTCTACTATTGTTTATTACTCAGTACAAGCTATTTCAAAAAAGCAAAGCAGGCTATCCCACAATCTTGAAAGAGCATATTGCCACTGTTTAAAATATCTCCTTAAAAAAATAATGAAAACTAACCTTACTCCAAAATCTAAATGCAACAAAGGACTTAAATTCTCAGACAATATTCTCAGTAACATAGGGTAAAACCTTCCATCCTTCCTAAAAGGAAGTTGAAGCACAATCTGTAAGACTTCCTATAAAATTCACACCAAAGGCATTCAATTCCACAACAAAATTAAAATTTCATCAGAATACAGATTATGATTTTTGGTAAGGATAGTAATTTTCTATCAGTATGATGTCTTCAAAAAACAAGAACCACAGAAAAAGTCAGACCTGTTCTG